CGTACATATGTGCATGCATACATTCATCAGGGACGAGTACGTATTATTTTATGTACGTAATGGAATTATCACACTGGAAACTCACAAAATTAAATGTATTTTTTTTTTAAATTTTGTTTTCCATTATGTTTCTTCTATCGAGATATGAAGAATTAAATTGCAACAGGAAAAAGTAAATGACAGTTTAGACTCTTGAAGAGTTCCCGGTGATTCATTTTTATAATTCCTGACTATGAAAATATCCACCGTAGAGGGAGGGCGTTGTCAAAATGTCGTCAATGACGATTTCTTTCACTACACTGAAATGTATTAATAAATTAATATTCCGTTTCGTTTCAAAATATAACAAACACAACTATGCAAATTTATTCGTAAAATCGCTACGGATTTATTGTATGATTGAGCCATCAATTGTATCAAGTCGTTCATCACATGACATCAAAATGTCCCAAGACGAGATGCCACACTTTGTGATCATAATGATTCTATGATTCCAGGAACTTGAATCTCGGGTAACTTGACATCTGCAATGACCGCTATATCTGAACAGCGATTTACAATGTTTGGCAATCGTTGTCCTAGGTAGGTTTCGATCAATGTTTTTTTTCGGTAGTATATAAAAACATTTTTTAAACTAAAATATTTGAAAGTGCAGGCAAAACATCTAAACAACGGACGTTTCGTAGGCAAAAGACCTTAATGTTGGCAGGCTTGTCTTTCCAGCCATGACGTGTTTGTCTAATAATGAAACATATCATTTGATTACGTAACAATGAGTACAACAGTAACAATACACTTACAATGAGCCACATCACCATGGCGCTGCCCATACCAGCGAACATAAATGAATTACCGTTGGAGATAACATCCACTCCTGGTGCCGTACCCTCAGAAGACATCTGGCGCACGTTTTTCCTGGCAACGAGACGACCTTCGATAAACAAAACAAATCAATTTGATTATTCTATGAAATAGTGACATTTGAAAAAAATACAACGTTCAACGTGCGTACGTAAGACACCACGTACGTTTTTCAAAAAGTCACATTTTCAGATGATATACTATTTTTAAAAAATCCATGAAATTCGATTGTTGATGTAGAAAAGAAAGTAAGATGATTAAAAGACAACAATAAATAAGCAAATTAATTTAATTATTTGGCACAGGACAAAATAAAAAAAAATACACGTTAATAGCATGAATGTCTGACGGTTTTCCGAAGCCAAAACTCACAAGAAAGCATGGTCACGCCAGGAACGTTTAATAATTGACAGTGGCGCTGACCGT